AAAAAGGCTAATAGCTTAGAAATTCTTGCAAGAACGTGTTGCACACTAAAGGATCTACAAAGCTTGCAACTGATAGTAAGAACAATTTTCAAGGGTATTTTATACATTAAAAATTCATTTAATGCTTTTCATACGATCCTCCAATATTACATATCGTTTTTCTAGATTCATAACTTTCTTCTCTGCTTCCTTCCTTCATCACCATGGTCTGATAACAACTGTTCATGTACATTTACATAGTCTAATTTCAGAAGAGTTTAATTTCCATTAGTGGAAATTAAAAGTGTGCACCGAAGGAAAAAAATATGTAATATTCTAATAGAAGATGTGAGACAATTGACCAGCATGGTAAAGTCATCAACGTGAGGATGTCCCACATGGAACTAGAAACAATGAGAGAGGAAAAAAATATCCCTGAGATATAAGTGGAGGTTGATATATTCCCCTTTTACATTAATAGCCAGACAGTTTGAGACAAAATCCAAGGCTGTGGCTTTCACAGACAACACATGCAAGGCAAAAAGGGATTTTAATAAAAGCAACGGTATTAATATGCATTAAACCCCTTGATTAAGATGACTGCTGATAAGAAAAGAATTCTGAAGCTAACCTTGTTTAACAGCAGAACGCCACCTATTTTTGCCCACTGAGATTAATAGCATCTGCAAACCAAAATTAAAGGAAAAAAATCCTTAATTGGATTATCCTGTGGGTCCTTCAGGACTGGCTTCACCAGGCAGCCACGCTCAGGACCTGATGCATCCAAGAAAGCTGAGAAATATTCACTGTATTTTTCTCCAGTGCTCAGAATGGTTGTAAGAGAAAAATCCCTTACCAAGCCTAAAGTCAGTTCATTCCCTGAACCTTGAGATCTGTTTCCTTTCATTTTCATAAACAGAAACTCAGCATTAGCAAGAGGAAGAGCAAAAGAGTATGACAAATTGCTAATATCTTTAATTGGCTTTTTCTTCCAGGTCATTGAAGATTGGAAGTATGTTGCCATGGTAGTGGACAGGCTGTTCCTCTGGATATTTGTCCTTGTTTGTGTCCTGGGGACTGTTGGATTATTTCTGCAACCCCTTTTTCAAAACCACACTGCTGCCATGAACCCTTAGTTGCCATTTAAAATTGTCAATATTTACACAAATGTTGGGTCCCATTCTACTCTCAGTTCCCCTCTGTTAAATCCACAGAGATGCCAAGTGACTTGCACTTACATCCCTTAGGGTAGGGAAAAGGAAAGCAGAACTTGACTTACTGTGGTAAGAAAAAAAAAACAAACAAGCAGAAAACTAAAAATTTTTTCCAGTGAGTCCAGTACTTCTGGTGATATCTTGGCCCTTTTTTCAATTGTTTGAAATCTGAACATTACAGAAAAAGGCTTTTACTGTACAACATGCCATCCTGGCTTATTATTATTATTATTATTGTTATTATTATTATTATTACTATATTTTAAATACATTGCCTTAGGAAGGATCTTTTCTTTCCTCAGAATACTGAAATTTCCCTGTTATGAAGAAGGTATTGCTATGAAATCTGTTTCCTTCAAATGCATCAAAACAGTTTGTGTCTGATGTATAAAGAACTTTACAAGTGGGTTTGATACTTAAACCTGAGCCTAGAAATAGAAACACACTTCTGAGGTAACCACTGCAAGGTTTCTCACCTTGCCATCCCCGACAGCTGAACGATCAACAACAGCAAAAATAATGTATGATAAACAAACACGTAGATAATACTCTGTTCATTGATGAAATACAAATAAAACATACATTTTTCCTTTATATAGATTTGGTCCTCGAATGTTCCTGCAACTTTCATGTCCCTGGGGCTCATACACTTTAATGAATCCCAGGCTGAGAGCACAGGAAAGCAACTGGAGAAGACAACTGTGAAAGGCAACGAGAATGAGAAGGACACCTGAGAACACACAGACCTGTGTGTTTTTCTGGGGAGACTTTAATGTGGATTTAAGTCTAATCCTCAACAAATTAGCTAGGGAAGCACATAAGGTATGTGGAGTCTCAAAGGCTTTGGCAAAGGACAGATGGAGGCCCCAGACTCCCATCACAGGACAATCCCACCACAGTTTCTCCAGGTAACCTGCAAGCAGAGACGTGGGCTCCTGGCTAACCTCAGCTTTCCCCTGGGGTGTTGTCAGGATACATAACAATTGTACCACCACTCATAAGCACAACTAATGACTGGAGAACAAACTGTTAAAATCCTCTACTACTTGTGCAGGGGATTTGAGGCTCACCTGTCCCAGGGGAGAACCAGCTGACTCCTAAACCTGTGTTCTTCAACAAGCCACAGGTGACAACAGTTCCAGATCTATTTGCCTTCATCAAAACTGAGCTACATCTCCCCCTAGATCAGCATTCCCAGGAAGCTCCAGATAACTACATAGATCTAGACATGCCAAAACAGCTCCATCCACCTTTCCAACTGTTCAGAGCAGCTACAAGACCTCATTCCCTCTTTCCCAGCCCGTGGCTGAACTCCCCTGCACCACTGGCACACGCATCCTCACCCCACACGCTCACCCCTGAGCCCTGGAAGGGCTCTCCTGAGGGCCTGAACACTTGAGCATGGCCTGGTGCCCAGCACTCTGGGAAGGACAGGGTGAAAAAGTATCACAAGTGAGGTGGTTGAGCCTCCTTGAGGTCGTATGTTAGAAGGAGAAAGGGTTGTCACACTGTCATCCTCCCTCCCAGTCCCCTTCCTCGAAGCACTGTGACTGTGTCCATCACAGACAGGCAGGTGGGGATGGATAACTGCAGGACAGCCCTCCTGGAGCAGGTACCCCCTGTGATCAGCCAAGCTGCCACATCCTGCTCTCACAGTGGGGGGCAATGCCCTGGCCACCTCCCCATTATCTATTCTGGACACTCCCGGGGTGACTGGTGGGCGGGGGAAAGTCAAACCTGCTTTCCCTGCCTTAAATGTTTTCTTCTCCTTTTCAGACCTAGAGAGCAGAGCTGTTTCTCTGCAGGCAACTGAACAGCTGTGAGATGAGATGGGGCACAGGCAACCCCTGGGAGCAGAGGTGCCCTCCCAGTGCAGGTTATATATATATATAAAATATATATATATACATATAATCCTCTGTGTTAGGTTATGTCACAAGCACAGGTGCACACACTGCCCCAGCTGCTAAACAGCTTTTTCTGCTGACAGAGAAGCCACAGGGAAGGCAGAGCAGTGCCAGTGCTGTGCAGACAGTGTAAAGGTGAAGGCCCTTTAAATATCAAAATAACCCTGACCAGTGAGTCTGAGAGAGGCAGCACAGACTTAATGGGCTGTGAGAGACCCTGCACATCCCTTGGGGGCAGAAGGGAGGGGACTCACCCTCCTAAACAACCAAAGGTTCACCAAGTCTGCCACGGCCCCTGCAGTCCCCCCACTTGACACCGGGCCTGTGCAGAGCAGAGACCCCTCTCTCTGCCATTTTTACCAGCACCAACAGCACTTTTGGCTCTGTCCCCCCCTCACCCTCTTACCAAATTTTACTGTTCTACCCAGTCCCTCCTCCTTCTCATCCTCCCCCTCACTGCCTGAGCGCAGCTGAAAGGAGGCCCCTGGTGCTCCCATCTCAGAGCTGGCTCATCCTCATGAGCAGTGAAGACTGATAGCACTTGGCTCTGTAACCACAGCCTTCAGCTGAATTATCCTCAGCACACAGGAAAGTTTTAGAAAGGATTTGGCAGCTCAGCTAGCAGCTAACACAGAGTGCAGGCAGATGAAGGCCTCAGACTTGACAAACCCAGAAAAAGCTTTCCAAAGGCACATCGCTGGCCCCAGGGGGATGCCTGGGGAACACGGCTCCTCATCCAGGAAATGGGCTCTGGTGCTTTCCATGCACTCCTTTTTTAATCCCAACTGGAACAATATAAGCTTTCCTAAGGACGTCCTTGGAAACCACCACTGTGTGTTTAACATTTCCAGAAATAATTCAATCCGTAGAAAACTTTGGAATGAAAAATTTCACCCCAAGTCCTAAAATCCTGAAACTGTGCTTTCAAAGTGGCAAACACTGTTTTTGCCTAACCCTCAGCAGCTCCACCCACGTAATAGATAGAACTGTTCCCAGTTTAACTTGTCAGAGAATTACAGGGTTTTCCACTTTGGTTTTCCTGGCGAAATTTCAAAAATAAAAGATTTCTGGAGAAAAGGAAACGTCAAAAATGTCATCTTGCAAGCAAATATGCATAATATCCCAGTTCACCAAACAAAATGAACTTCAACATTTCCACTTTTCCAGGGTTTTACCGTAATATTTTTCATTTAAAAAAATGGACATTCAAAATGTATTTTACACTAAAATTGTTTTTCAATAGCAGTGTGCAACCAGTCTGCTTCCCTACCAGTGAAGAAAAGCCTCTGTTGGCTCTCTCCCCGTTCCCTATCATCACAGATTTCACAGAATATTCTGAGTTGGAAGGGACCCACGAGGATCATCAAGTTCAACTCTTACATGAATTATAAAACTCTTTAATCCTGACCAATCCTGCCTTTCATCAGAACATGTAGAAATGCCACCACCACCACACACACGTACCACCTGCATCCAGGTGCATTTATTTGGGACTGTTTCTGCACCCCTGCAGCCACAGCAAGCTGGGAGCAACAGCAGTGTTGGATTTTTAAAGAGGGAGCATCAATATCCCAGCAAAGGTGCGAAAATATTCTTTCCTTCATTACCTGAGTTGATACCTGAGTGTATTTATTAAAAAGCAAAGGCTTTGTTACTGCAGATCTTCTTGGGTAGATCAGCTTCCCCCTAATCAGACAAATTCTTCTTCTATGTAGTTCTGCAATGCAGTCATGGTGACGTGTTCTCATCACATCACTCTCCCTTGGCCATAAAAACAATCCTACCACAATCCTGAGCTGATTTCACCAGCACCTCCAGCATGGGGTGTTGGGAACAAAACATCTGTGCCACATAAACACCACTGAAAATTTCAGTAACTCAGCTAATTAAACTGAAGTACCTGTGTCTCTTGATGTAATGGCTCTTTGCTTCCTCTGCAGATCAGATGTTTCCAAATTATCCAGGCTAAGCACTGACTTTTGGGGAATACGAGTTTATGATATTGTCTTTGAAGCTTTAACTCATTTCTAGTTGGGATTAAAAAGAACAAACAGAAATTTCAGTTATAATGCTGCTTATAGCAGGGAAGCAAAAAGGGAAGGCATTTAGTCTCAATGTCCTGGAAGGGCAAAGACAAAAGTATCCACAAAGGGTTAAGTTAAAAGACCAAGCAGCTGAGTTCTCTGGAAAAAAAAAAAAAAAAAAGAAGAAATAAAATCAAATGGACAGTAAAGCCTATTTCCTCCAAGCTAATAGAATTACAGAAATTATCATAAGAGCATGTGTCTGGGGACAGAGTGAATGATGCTCTGAGAGACAGGGCTAACAGGATAAACAAGCTCAGTGCCAGGAGCTGAGCCCAGCCTGGTGCTCTTTCTCCCTGTGTTACCTCTTAACACAGAGCAAAGGGGTCACTGGTTACCAACCCCTAAGAGCAGGGAGTGAAGCACCTCTTGGTGCAGCTCCTGTCCCACAGGGCTTCTCTCTCATCAGTCCTAAAAATGAGGGTGGAATCCCACATTTTTCTCTCCCCCTTGCTCCCTCCCTCCACACAGCTGAGTGCAGCTGTGCAAGCCTTGGACATCTGGTCATCCAAGGGGGGGGGACACAAAAGGTGACAGAAGTTAACAAGGAAGCTGATGGGCATCTGGGGAATGAGTCCCTTTGTAAATCAGGATTTTATGACTGAACTTCAAACACAACTCCCCATTCTTCCCAGTGTCCTTCCTCATGAACAATGAGGATTTGTGGGATCCTGTGCTCTTATTCCCTTCTCAAATTTCACCTTTCTAATCAATGAAAGCAGGAATGGCCTAAAGACAGTTATTCTCACCGGTTTGATCAAGTTTAATTCTCCATTCCAAGCCCTGGCTCTTGCCAGATCTCAGCTGCTGTGTTTACCACTCTGGGCTTAGATCCTGTCAACAGTTAAACATGCCTTTAATTACTCCTGGGAATAGCACATCCCTTTTATACAGCCAAGCACCCAGCACATGCGCTTGTGAGACACGGGCAGGAAAAAAGCCTCGATGTTAACAGCACAATTGTAAATGCAGGTCCCAAGATCTCAGTTCACTGCTAAATCAGGCATCCCTAATGCCAATATTCATTTCAGCACAATTCAATTACAAGATTTTTATTAATTAAACTTCCCTTAGTAGATTGTTATGAGCTTCTGGTAGAGAAGGATCCTACAGAGCAGCTGACAGGAAAAATCTTTAGCACCGTCAGACTACCAGGCTCATTTATGCACCATTTGAAGGACTCTTGCCCATTATCCCTGCCAGAAGACTGCTCTTTGCCTACAATAACATCTGTTTGGCCTGCAATTTGTTTGCCATTTCCCCAGCTCTGACAGCCCGGGTAGCCAGGAAGGGGGCAGCACAGCAACCCTAATGGGAGCTCACTGCGCAGAGCTGTTCAGGGTCCTGCCGGCTGCTGCTTCAGGCATTTCACGCATCGGAGGAGCGCAGCTCTCCCTGCTCCCTGTGCTCGCACAGTCCTGGCAGCGACGCTCGTCTCCAACAGCCTCTGTCGACAGGCAGTAATTCATAACACCATGGAGAGCATCCCCGCTCTCCTCCTGACTGCTGCTCTTTGCTTCCTCTGCCAAGGTGAGTGATCCTTCATTTGTTACTGCTTGGTGGTGAAGGGGGGGTCGAAAAGGTGGACAGGAGATGGCTTTGGTGCAAATTATTTTTAAGAAGCTCACTCCAAGCTAAGGGCTAAATCCTAGTACAGCTCTTTTTGTTACACAGTTTGTTGTTCGGTGGGTGGGTTTTTAAAGTTTATCGTTGTAAAGTATTTAATTGTCCTGATTAAAGATGCCAAACAGGACACACAAAGCCATTTTAACTTTAAGGAAAATGTGTGATTTCACATATTGCAGAGAGGACCACCAGAAAGTGGTTTCAAATACAAGCTGCAAACAGCCCATCTTCTCTCTGCAGATACGGAAAGCACCAAAATATTCAAATAAAAACCCCCACATTAGTGCACTTCTCTAGAGATGGTGGATGCTGGATTTAATTAATGCTAGTGACATGTAAAAAGGCTGGCAATCTGGGATCGACTATAACAGAGTCGTTAGGATCCAGCTTTGAAATTATTTACCTAAAAGATTCGAGAGTATTTATTCCAGGAAATCTTGATATGAGAGATAGGAGATATCAATAAATAATATGGACAAGACTGGCAATTACAAAAGCGTTCATTTTTTAGCTTGCAAGTTGGCTTGAATGATTTCACTAATCTGAAAACAAAATTGCCCTCTAAGTGAGCAAGAGAAGGGGAGAGGGGCAAAAACCAGTCAGCCAAATCAAAACTCAAACAAACCAAAACCCAAACAAACGAACTTTTAGCTGAGTAGATTCACTTGAGAGGGACCCTCTTGTTCTAGAGAGAGGAGAGGACTCACAAAGATTGGAAAGTAACACCTGCTTTGTGTAACATTTCAGATCAGTCACCTGCAGATACTTCTGCCTCCCTCCTCTTTCTCTGTTGAAAAACAACTGACAAAAAAAACCCCATGTCCCTGCAAATCTGTAGATTCATATTTGTGTTTCACGGGAACTGTAGAATATGTTCAACAGACTTCAGTTCATGCCTTTGCCAAATTTGCATAGTGCCATCCATTAATGACAAAACAGGCCTCGTTTTCCTTTTCAGTTGGGAGTTCATAGGGATGTGTTGTCCAGAACGAGTTTAAGAGAGTTTTAAGAGATCATTTGAAAAATAAAAGGCCACTGCCTTTTTAAATAGCATTAGGATGGTCATTGCCTAGCGAGTTAAAGAGGAAAAAGGTAATGTAAAATACAGGCTCTCACACCTCATCCCGAAACAAGTAAAGTACCCTAATTTTTTAGAATTTCAGTTTGCAGTTTTTCTGTAGGCCACAGGGTATGAACTGCAGTTGTGAGTGGCAAAGGGACAATACAAATCTATTATAAATAAAAACTACTTAGAATAAAAAACGGGTAATTAGCACATTTCTTTGAATGTGCTGAAAAGTCTTTGAATATAACAGTTAATAAATTTAATACTTTTTTTTATATTTTAAGAAGCAGGCTGTTATTGTTGCCATAATCACACAATCGTGACTCAGGCTGGAAAGTAGATTTGTTTCCTGGGAATCCTCCTATTGCAAAACGTTCTGACCTTTCACAAGCGGCCTGGTCTGCTGGGCTGCACTTTCCCCTTCCTGTGCTCCACAGCTCTGCCAGGTCTAGGGGACCGGGCCTGGGAGGGGAAGGGGCTTTTGTACCTCCAGTTCTTCAGTAACTCCCCGAAACTTTTTAACTCATTTGAAGAGATGTGTGTGAGAAGACCTCTATCATAGCGTTACCCTTCGCTTTTCTTCTCCCCAGCCCATGCTAACGCCCCCCTGGCACGGTACTGCCCACCTAGGCGAGGCTCGGGCAGTGCCCAGCCCAGGGGATGCTGAGTGGGCGGACGGGGGGCTCTGCCCCGGCGCTCACCGCGTGTCCTCCGCAGGCTGCGGCGGCTCCGAGGCCGAGCACCGGCTCTACGCGGCGCTCTTCGAGAGCTACAACAAGTTCGTGCGCCCCGTCAAGAACGTCTCGGACCCGGTCATCATCCAGTTCGAGGTGTCCATGTCGCAGCTGGTGAAGGTGGTGAGTACCGGGCGCCGCGGCGGGGCCGGCGCCTGTCCCGACACAGCTCTCCCGACACAACTCTCTCTTCCAGGACGAAGTCAACCAGATCATGGAAACCAACCTGTGGCTGAAGCACGTGAGTAGTGACCCACCTTCCTCCCCAGCGCGGGAGTGCTCCGGGGCACCCGGGCCGGGGAGAGCCGCCCGCCCTGCCAGGGGTCTGCGGGCTCGGGGAGCACCGGGGCGGCATTCCCGGGGCGGGATCCCGGGGCAGGATCCCCGGGGCAGCATCCCCGGGACAGCATCCCCGGGCGGCACTCCCGGGGCAGCATCCCGGTCTCCCCGCCGGCAGCGCCGCCCGGCCCCGTCCTTGGCGCTCTGCTGCCTCCCGGCGGCCACCGGCCCGCTCTGCCCGGGGGAACGGGAAGGGATGGGAAGAGACGGGATAGGATGGGACGGGAGCGGAGCAGCGCTGCTACACCGGCTGGGAGTCGCTAAATAAAACATTTTTGCTCTCAAGATTCCCACACGCGCTGCCTTGGCAGACACTCGGCGCGGCTGTCCCGCACAGCATCACTTGGTGCTGTTTGGTTCCCGGAAAATGAGAAGAAACCCAAAGTGTTTGCCTCACTTAAAAAGGGTCTGTAGAGGTTAAAAATGCAGTTACTCACTGTTGCAGTCAGCTGAATAACCAGCTTAGTTCCCGCTTTCAGCTTGATATTCAATTTTGTTTAAGCGGAGTTTAACGAGCCCTAAGGACCGAGGCTGTTACTGAACTGAGCAACCACACCCTGCAGCTGTTTCTGACCCACATACCCCGGGTCCCTCACTCGATGCTCACACCTACCCCCACGGCCCCCACGAATTTGTTCTCACCATCTCACAGATACCTGGTTTCTTGAGACTGAAGTTATTATTAAAGTCCTACATTCTCTGACAAGAGTCTTACTCCTTTCACCTTGTTTCAACTGCTGAGTAGACATTCCTGGCACAGAGTCACAGACATGTAAGTCACATCTAGATAGGACCAACAAGGTCATATCTAGGCCCACCTACAATCTGCATATGAACAAACACCACACACATGTGTTTGTTAAAGAAACAGCTAAACACTGTGTATCCAAGATAAAACAACCCTAGGAGTGATATGACAACACTTAGTTCAGGTCTAGTCCACTGAATTTCAGTTTCTTCACAAACCTAACGCAGACTCATTTTGTCCATAATTAGATCTGGAATGATTACAAGCTTCGGTGGAATCCAGCAGACTATGGAGGTGCTGAATTCATCCGAGTACCATCTGGCCAGATCTGGAAGCCAGATATTGTTTTATATAACAAGTAAGACTCTTGCATATTTATCTCCTTACTTCAGGAAGAAGGGGGGTGATGTTACCAGTTTTAAAAAAAATCAGCAGCAAGTTCCCTGAATACACTGAGAAGCCTGCTTTCCACCACACCTGTGTCCCACATCCCCCACTGCTGCCCTCACCTCCATGCCAGCTCCACCAGCATCCCTGGGCAGGAGCCAGCTCTAACCTGGAGCTGCAAGTGGGCAAGCCAAAGTGAACCTGGCTTTCCCCCTTCACTTTTACTGTTATTTGTACCACTGTCTACCAGGGGAGCTGGCAGGAGTTCCCTTAGACTGGAGAGTTCTTGTCTGTGAGTCAGACTTTTAACTGAAAAAAAATGCAACTTCCAGCTTTTTAGCAGTTAAATTCACAATTTAAATTCACAACCTTTCTAATAACAGTGCTGACATATAAAAGCCACAGATAAAGTTTACTTTAGATGTCAGTTGCTGAGACTGAGGAGCCAAACCATAACTCAGTGGCTCCCTCTGCTAAGTAGGGAAGCAGTTCTCAGGGAGATGGACTTACCCACTCAGATCCAAAACTTAGGTCTGTGGATCAACAGCGATGACACTCCTTTTTTAACTGTAGTCTTAAAACTTCAGATTACTTTTTTAGTTTTACTTCTTCATAGAAACAACTGATATTGTCACATGGATCATATAAGATAGCAAAGTGGGACTCAAAAAAACCCCTCACCAAATACTCTCCTTAGGCAAAGATGCACCCCAACCCTAATCCCTCTTTCAACAGTTACTACCTGCACTGTCCACAGAAGAGGTGGGAATACCAGTAATACAGGTATCCTCTTATCAGCCCCTGGGTTCTGATGTGCTTGATTATCTAGAATAGAACAGAATAAAATAGTTCAGTTGGAAGGGACCTACGAGACTTATCTAGCTGAACTGCCATTTGCAGTCTGCTATTTGCCATTTTGAATATTGATTGCACTGAGCCATATTATTAATAAGGGAATTAATAATATTCCCTTTCAACTCCTCCCTGGTAAATTTATACAGCTGTTTGTTTCAGTTTAACTGTGCAAATTTATGGTGGCCACTGGCTCAGTCCTGCACATGCAATTCAGCTCCAAGTCAACAAGTAATTGCTGACTTTCCCAAAGCAGATTAAAGAGTTAACGTATATGATCTGAAGGTATGAAACTACCTGGTGTAGATCATTCTAATTTTTGTTATTTTTATTTGTTTTACAGTGCAGTTGGGGATTTCCAGGTTGATGACAAGACAAAGGCCCTACTAAAATACACGGGTGATGTGACCTGGATACCTCCAGCTATATTTAAAAGCTCATGTAAAATAGATGTAACCTACTTCCCATTTGATTATCAGAACTGCACCATGAAGTTTGGTTCCTGGTCTTATGATAAAGCCAAAATTGACTTAGTTTTAATTGGCTCCACAATGAACCTGAAAGATTACTGGGAGAGTGGAGAATGGGCTATTATTAAAGCTCCTGGGTATAAACATGACATCAAATACAACTGCTGTGAGGAGATATACCCAGACATCACATATTCTCTTTACATTAGGCGTTTACCTTTATTTTACACCATCAACATGATTATTCCCTGTCTGCTGATTTCTTTTCTGACTGTATTAGTTTTCTATTTGCCCTCAGACTGCGGTGAGAAGGTGACACTCTGCATATCAGTCCTTCTATCTTTAACAGTGTTCCTTCTTGTTATCACAGAAACCATACCTTCTACTTCCCTGGTAATTCCCCTTATAGGGGAATACCTCCTTTTCACCATGATATTTGTAACTCTATCAATTGTCATCACGGTATTTGTGCTGAATGTGCACTACAGAACACCCAAGACACACACGATGCCCGTGTGGGTGAGAACCATTTTCCTGAACTTACTTCCCAGGATCATGTTCATGACAAGGCCTGCCAGTGATGAAGACAACAACCAGAAGCCAAAGCCACCGTTCACTTCTGAGTTTTCAAACCTTAATTGCTTCAGCAGTTCTGAAGCCAAATGCTGCAAAGATGGCTTTGTGTGTCAAGACATGGCATGCAGCTGCTGCCAGTACCAACGCACCAAGGTCTCGGATTTCAGTGGCAACCTCACCAGGAGTTCAAGCTCTGAGTCTGTGGATCCCCTGCTTTCATTTTCAGTTCTGTCACCAGAAATGAGAGATGCTATTGAAAGTGTGAAATATATTGCAGAAAATATGAAAATGCAGAACGAAGCAAAAGAGGTAAGAACATACTTTACTGTTGCTCAAACTGCAGATACCTTTTGTCATTGGAGTCTTTTGTAAGAAAAAAATCTCAAATACACAAACAAGCAAAAAACCCCAAAACAACAGAGACCATTATTTTATAAAAGTAAATTACCCAAGCTGTGTACAAGCATGTGCAATTTTGAATTGATATAACTGGGGAGCAGCTCTGCTGCACAACATTCTCTTTCCTGACAATATAACTGCTGAATGAGGCATGTTAAGGTCACCATTGCTGGGGGAACACAGGAGAGCATCCATCCCACCAGAGCTAAAGTTAGGATTTTCCAAGTCATAATCTTAATAGTGGAATTTGCTGACTCTGTGGCCTTTGGGAAGTTACGTTCTCCCTCCCACAGCTTACCATCAACAACAAAACCACAAGTGGATGTCCCTCATAGGGATGATGTTGTTCATTCTGTTCCTGCTGCAGAATAAAGTTCTGTAGCTAAATGAGGCAACTGCTGCAGGACTGGGACCAGCATCTTTCATAAAGCTGCATCTTAATGCAATAAAAAAAACAAAAATGGAAAGCTTTCTCTCTATCATGTCCCTCAAACATATTATGAGCAGTAGCCACCCCCCCCAATTATCACAGACTGTAAACCCTCTGCAGTATAGCACTTAATCTCATTCTAACTTTACTTCATTTGTGCTGAAATCAGAGCTTTATTTATATTTAGTTGCTACAAAAAATACAGGGTTGCTTTGGGTTTTTAAGTCTGCCCTAACAAACAAGTTGTAAGCTAAAAAGCCTGAATTTCAAAACCAACTAACGCATTATTCATTTATTAGTGCTTCTGAAGAAAAACAAAGTAAAAATTTAAATTGCAATCTCAATGGGAACTAAAATGATCACCTGGTCACTGTTAATATATAGCACATATAATATTTCAGTGTCACTCTTGTTATAACACTCACTGTAAAAAGAAAAAAAAATTAGAAAAAAATCTGGGTTTTTTTGAAACGTCCTCTACAGGAAAAGCACAGAGATGAATTTTACACCATGCAGGAGAACAATCAAACTTCAGTACTACATAAGAAAAGTACCAAGTAACTATGTATCAATTAGCTTTTGCTTTTTACATACTGCCTAAAGATGAGTAGGAGCAGTCTGTTTCAGCCAAGTTTTCTGGACAAACCTCTTCACCTGAGAATGTAAAGCTTTACATTTTCATTTTTTGGCACAGAGAAGTTGTATCTCCTCAAGTCCAGTGTCTTGGTGAAAAACTTTCTGTATTTGAAGTAGCAGCTTTTGGCTTTGCCACAAAGAGCATATTCAAATAAAGCTTCTTCAAGATGAATTAGTCAGTGAAAACAGAGATGTGTAAGTTGTGTAGCATGAAAGATACCTACACACAGAAAAATCTATATAAAATGGCACTAGTTGCTAATGCAAATTATTGACCTAATAAACATGCCAACTTCCTATTCTTTTTTCCTTTTTTTTTTTTTTTTTAATTTTTCCAGATTCAGGATGATTGGAAATACGTTGCCATGGTCATCGATCGTATTTTTCTGTGGGTTTTCATCCTGGTATGTATTCTAGGAACAGCAGGGTTGTTTTTACAACCTCTGATGGCTGGAGATGAGATGTAAAGGTTTAAATAATATGTTGTGAAATCAAATAAAACTGCCAACCAACTCTGTATCACCACCCCAGCACCCCATGTCTCTTCCATGTGCAGCAGAATAAGGAACTCTCAGCTCTGCTTGATGAAGAAGGCTTTGTTAAAAGGGTGGGAAAAGAAATGATTTTGAACCTTTATGACAGCTAATCTCCACGGAACAGGAGCTGTGCTTTTACAGCTCCTTCTTGCCACAACAGGAAGTGATGTAGGTAGAACATTAAACTTTATAGGAATGGTTTAAGAAGGGGTGAATAAAGAAATGGAAAATCACATGAATATTTGGAAAGTAAAGAAGGGTTGAATGCTTTGGGCTGTTTTCATGAGTCTGGCACCAAGAGTCTTGAGCCCACGACAGGACCTTCTGGAAGAAGCTCATCCTGAGTTCCATGAATGCCCTCATGTGGATGGGATGGTTGGGAAGGCACAGGTACCAAAGTGCTGGAACGCAGACATCACCACCTGGAGTGTAAACTGCCCCACAGCGTGGGAAGAAAGGACCGAGGGCAGGTTTGTTCCAAAAGAAAGCAAATTGAAATGCAGATGATGGTAACAGAGCAGCCAGGAAGTAAACTCTGCACATCCCCACAGTGTAATGGATGTGGAGGCTGGCAGGAAAAAAAGCTACTCAAACCTAGTGATGTTTAGAGTTGTGTACAAGTCAAACACACGCTGGGACAGTCTGCAGGTGGTGCAAAGGATCAAAACACTCTGATGGGATAGTCTGGATACAGAGGCAAAGGGGTTTATGACAAGGGAAGGCAGGGAGACACAAAATAGTCCTGTAAAGTATGCTAAAAATCACTGCTTAGGCATATGTATCTTCATTTTTTTAATCAGCAACTGCAAGTTATTTAAGAGCATGAATAAAGAATGCAACAAAATACTGTAATGAGAACATATTTTGTACAAATATTAACTGTTCTCTCTGTACCAACCTTTTGGAAATACAGTGTATCAAGTGGTGTGACATTTATGAAAATAAAGAGAATCAAACTGTTGAAAATGGTGCCTTTTTTTCCATTTATTTTGACCAAGTAACAAAAACCTAGATAAGGTAGCATTGCCTACAGTTCAATACATTCATTATAAGTTACAGGATAAAGGTGCATTTCTCTGAGTCTGTTAACATTCTCTTGTTTCAGACACACCTGATAAGCTGCAGACCCCAAGGATTCCAGGGTCAGCTCCAAATCTACCATGATCAGACTGTGGAAGTGACTAAAAGAAATCCATGCATTTGCAAAAATTGGGAATTATTATAAGGACTGTGACTCCATTGGGCAATGTGCTGCCCATCAGGGCAGTCTACAGACATCACTTGACAAGGGGAAAGAGATAAGGTGGAGAGTTAATAAAATATATATATATTTATATATATATATATGTATATATAATCTACTTTTTTACTTACTTTGCTTTCTGTTTGGGTAAGAGTAAATTTCAGTAATTCAAACCCAAGGAAGACTATAAAAGGAAATTTTGTGTTTGAACAGGAAACAAGCTTTCTAAAGTATTTCTGCAACTTCCACACAGAGAAGTCACTGATGCATTGTTTAATCTTAGTAATACCAAGGAAGTTAAAATTCTTATATTAATGGATTAAAACAGATAATCTTTGCAAGCTCACCTTTAAAATTATGATGGCAGTAGAGGAAACACAGATATCCAATGCAAATGTAATTGGGTAGCTGAAGAAGAGTAACTCCCTTTACAATCAGAATTATTTATAAATTGTTATTAAAAAAAAGGCTTGCCTGGCATCATTTCTCTACCTGTGAGCCTTAAAAAAACAAGAAAATCCTACAGCTTAAGACAATCTGAAATAAATATTCAGTTATATATAAGTTATGGCATAAGCAATCACTATTATAATCAAACAGGGCTATTCTAAAGGAGCTCCAGGGGGGTGTGTGGGGAATATGTGTCTGGTTTTCAAATTTATAACCACTATAAAAGCTTATATTATCGAAGATACCACCATTTACATTAAAACTTCTCATCTAAACCTGTTATTATTAAGGTAGTAACTTAAGCAAACAAAAAACTTCCCCAGACTTGCTCTAGCTTGGCATTGCTCTGCTAGTCCTACAGGATAACAACTATATTTTGAAGAGCACTGACAAAACTTTGGTGTGGGAAAACACTCAACTATTTCAGAGTCTTTTCCACAAATAAACCTTTTAAGAAAGGAGGGAAGGTGGCGTTGGAATCAATGTAAAGAATAGATTTTAATGGAATAATTGAAAACTTGCCAGTTTGTTTTCAACAATCTCAGGAAAAAGAAAGAATGGAAAGCTGTAAGTCCTTGCTGCTTAGAGTTACATGTGGTTTTATAAGCAAGAGAACCTACTCAAGGCAGCTCTCTTGAGTTCAGTTTAACAAATGTGTGAAAACTTAACCATCTGTATCTGGTTCCATGGCATAATAATTCAATAACCTTTCCTTCAGAAAGACATTCCCCCAGATTCCTTAAAATTAAAAAATTAAAAACCTCTGCTTAAAAACTTAATTTCTGAGAAGCACACAAAGACAGGAAACAGTTAACAAGTTTGCAAGTTACAAACTGTATCAAATTCTTCATCAAGGATAAAGAAACCTGAATGTTCCAGCCCTTGTGCAACTTGGGAACTCATTTAACTGTCTTTGCCTTCCTTTCCAAAGCTGATGGAGACATCAATATACTCATGTGCTTTAGGCATTTTAAGGCTTATTGAATGTTCATGTTAGTATCATAGAATTGACAAGATTTACAATTTAGCAGCAAATTGCACCGAAAATTTATAGAGGCAAAACATGGTCAAATCACTATTTTCAGTTGTATATTGGACATGCAGGAAGTTTAACTTGCATTTTTTTCTATTATTTTAAATTACTTTTACAGCACATTAAAGAGAGCTGATAAAAATTCTCCTTTTTATACTATAGTAAATCGAAATAAGCAACTCCACTGTGTAACTGCAAATATAATACTCTGTATAACAATTTATATAGTAATTTAATAATTGGACTACAGTGATCATCATTAAAAAAATTTAAATCCTTCTAGTTTGCAGTAGGTGTCAGTGTATGCTTTTTTCATATATCATACATGCAAGTGCTTGAGAAAGTTCTTTTAATTCTGACCTGGCTTAGAAGTAACTTAGTAGACTGGCAATAAGCAAATTGCCTCCTATGTGTCCTAGGAATGCCATGCTTTAATATAATCCTAATTTTCTAGTTTTGGAATGTTTTTTTTTCCACTCTATCAGAAACATGCCTACAAAGAACGAGCATGGAAACAGAGCTACTGCAAAACTCTTTGGAGCCATATTAGCAGGAGACAGCTCCAAAAATCTTTTATGCATTTGTACTGCCTATATGTGTAGGTACTATTATACTTGCCCACTTATGAATAACAGGAATAAATAACACAAGTGATCCAATGATTGAAACCAGAAGAAAAGCCCATAAGAACATTCGATCAAGCACCTGAGCAATGTATTTCCAGTCTTCAACAACCTAAGAAATAAAAGAGCACAAGAAACGGTCAGTATGTGCAAGAACAGGTGAAAATACAGTACCACATCCTGCAGTTCTTAATCATTTCAAAGTACACTTTTTTCAGCCTTGTTCATTAGATAATCCTGTTTAACAACATTTTATAATTACAGTCAGAGGTAGAACAGGAGCAAACTGCCCCCTGTGAAGACTGGTAAGCTGTGTAGACCAACATTAGATTTTAATGCAGAAACCAACCCTGGCAAGCACTGAAAATCCTCATCTATAGAGAGATGAAACTGGTATGCCATTTTCTAACACACTGCAGCATTCATGCCACACGACAGCATAAAGTGGAAATCCCAGGCAGGAGCTAGAAACAAAAGTTATTAAGAAAAAAACAAAAAAGACAACAACCCCTCCCATCACCTAAACAAAAAGCACTAAACCTCCCAAACTAAAAAATAAAATAAAATTACAGTACTGAGTAGCTGTTGTGTTACAAACAAGATCTGAAAGCTGTGAAGTTACTGCTGCACAGAATTGCACACTGGGACAACACTCACTGTACTTCCAAGACTACCTTCCTTTTTATAGGATTGTTTTGCAAGTATAGCAGATATAACTGTGCAAGCAAATGAAAGCCCTGCCAAACAACTGTCTTGGAGTTGAACTGGAGCTCTCCACATTTTCCAAGCCTCATGCTTCCCAAGATGTAAGGCTACAACAGCACTAGCTGGGGAGTGTTCATTAACAACTTTTGCAATTAAAGCTTGCAAACTCTCTGGAGCCCAAGCAATAAAACACAGGTGAATCCCCACTCATCTGTATGTTAATTTCTGAGGTTTAGAGTCACAAAAACATCACATCTGAAAACCAAAATACTTATCGCTTCTCTTGTCACTCACAGTCAAATACAGTAACTCCACAGGAGAAAGAAAAGCAACCCATAATATACAAGAAATTATGTATTTAATAGCAAATTATTTCTGTTGTTCGTACAATGCAGAGCTGTTGGATGCTGCTTTAACAGTACAGCAGATACATTTATTAAGAATCTAGGCCGGATCCCTTGTGACAATGTCAGAATCAAGTCCTGAGAGGGCACATGAGAGGAGTTTGCTCACTCCTAGACTGTGAGAACACTCTTAGCAACCAGCAGCTTCTGAAGAGAGCCTTTTCCATATAAACTGAAATAATCCCAGGCCGTGCCATCAGAAACAGGCAGCAGTATCATGAGACCACACACAAACTTCTATATTTCTAAACTAGCCTGCAGATTACATTTAAGTCTCTGGTGTACCAATGGTGCCAGTTTAAAAAGCATGTAAAGAAAACAGATCCAGAGTGCTCTTACCCAAGTGGTGTAAACATCCATTTAGGGTAGTTCAGAGTGCAAATGCACAGACTGAAAAAAAGCCTTTGACATCTTTTAATATAACTTAGAGACAAATAATAATAAGGGCAGAAGAGAACTCTTAGGAAGTCATCTAGTCCATGTTTGACCTCAGCACAAATTGACCTACATAGGGCCACAGCTTGTATTTAAACTAATATAAGTTAGAGCATTGAAATTGGTTTTATTTGGAATTGAAAGGTGAAAAACACGGCTTGGTCATATTTATTCTGAAAATATAAGGCGAATATAAGTAAAATATAAGGCATTGTTCAGACAGCCTTCAGGTACAACATTCAAGGGGAAAATATCTCCTCATCTCAGCAGCTCTGTAGAGAACAGTCAGAGTACACAGGTGCCTCACAATGTGTAACCAACAACATGAACCTAACTGCTAGAAGAAAGCAAAAGACTTTTAAAGAACCCAAGGACTGTGCTGTATCAGCCCAATGTCCAGAAGAATTCTCAGCATTGTACCATACTTGCACTTCTTTCCAGTGGAAACAATTACACAGCTTCCAGTGGAGCACAAAACCTGGAAATCCCCAGCACATCTTTAACAGGACACTGCACAGTAAACCATTACTTGGTTTTCTAATTTCCACGGGTACGGGATCAGTGTGACAGGACCAATCCACCCACCTCACGAACTTCGTTCTCCTTCATGACGTGCCTCGTGATGTAGCGGATGGAATCCAGAGCCGCCTCCAAGGTGTTCCTCGAGGATTCCGAGCCGTTCACGTTTCCTGTTTCCTCCTTCTGGGCAAAGTACCTGTCCACGTGACTCCTCATGCAGAGCAGCTTGGGAAGTTTGTGAAGAAAGATCTTGCGAACCCAAGGTGCCATCGCGTTGTGCGTGGACGAGGAGCGGTGGTGGATGTTGATGGCAAAGACAGTTATTACGATGGACAAGGTCACAAATATCATAGTGAACACCAAGTACTCTCCGATAAGTGGGATAACTTTGGAAGATGAGGGAATAATTTCTTCAATAACAAGAAGAAAAACAGTCAAAGAGACCAGTACTGAAGTGCAAAGTGAAATTTTTTCGCCTTCATTTGAAGGCAGATAGAAGACAAGGACGGTGAGAAACGAAAGTCCAATACAAGGGATGATGAGAAACAATGTGT